CATAGTGGTGGTATTACAGTTGTGTATCTCAGAACATGACCCATTATTATCCTTTAAATTAGTCCAAGATTCTGGGTGAATGAAAAATGTTCACCCAACTTTGCCTAGTGTAGACAACTTACAGACTTAAAAATTACCAAAATCAAAGAGATCTATATTACTGAAGTGATAATGAGTTAATTACATATTTTATTTGAATTTTATGATCTATTCAAAAACTATTGTCATTATATTCCAGGATACCACTCAAGATACTTCAGTGAATTTAGTTATCATTTCTCCATAGTCAATTCTAGTAGAACAATTCCTCAGTCTTCACTGGACTATGCAAATTCAATATAAATGAATATTCTTGGTCAGGGATATTTTCTAAATTCCTTTCAATTCGGATATAGCTCACAAAATTTCTGTGTAGTACATGCAATATTGTAGTGTTTTACAACACATACGCACATATATCTGTATTTCATTACATCTAATCAATATATGTAAGAAAAGTTAAATGTGAACTGATTGGGGAAAGTAAAGGGATTGTAGAAGAAGGAAGATGGGTAGAGAACAAAAGATTATAATCAAGTCAATTTAAGTAAGGAACCATTATCTATCTGTCTGTCTCTCTGTCTGTCTGTCTATATGATATTACATATATGTGTGAATAGGTATTAAGTATAATACTGAATATGAGAAAACACATGTTATATTTGTCTTGATGACATTATCAACATTATTGTGTAGCTCTTCCTTTTCCACACATTAACCTCAACATTTGTTATTTCTTCTCTTAATTTTCCCCCTCTCTAACTGGAGAAGCTATGATTTCAGTATGTTTTTAATGAACATTTATCTAACAGATAAGGTTAGCATATTGAATCCATGTATTGGCCATTTGTATTCCTGTGAGAACTGCCCAGTGCATTTTCCACTTTTATTTGGTGATTCCTGTACTTGGTGAGTAGATTTTGAGTTCTTTATATAGTGTAGATATTAAACATGTCAGATGTATAGTGGGAAAGCATTGTTGCCATTCTGATATCTGCCTCATCACAGTTACTTATTTCCTTTGCACTGCAGAAGCTTGCTTATTTTGTACAATCTCATTCATAAATCCTTGTTATTTTCTGAGCTGTTTCCAGTCTTTCTAGTAAGGCTATGGTGTATCTATATCTTGTTGTAATGTTTTGTTTTGTTTTTCTTTTTGAAGATGTGGTTCTCTTTAGCTTTAGAATCTGCCCTGGAACTAGCAGTTGTAGACCGGATTGACCTTGAACTCATAGAGATCCACCTGCCTCTGCCTGCTGGGATTAAAGGATATGTTTTCCTCAAGTTACAATGTTTTTTTTCCAAGTTTTGTTGCAGAGATGTCAGTATGTCCCATCATAAATTAGGATCCTTGATCTAATTTGGATTAGTTTTGGAGGAGTGAGGGACAAGAATGAATGATCATCCATTTAGATTTGGTTAGCCAATTTTACCAGTACTTTTATTGAAACAGCTTTCCTCGATGTTTGGGGTTTTTTTTTTTTTGGTGTCCTTAGAAATATATAAGTGACTGTGGCTGTACAGACTTACTTCTGAGTCCTCTATTATATCCCATGGGTCTGCATATCTCGATCCTTGCTGTAGCATTTATTTTTGTTGCTAGCTCAATAGTGTAATCTGAGAACATGTATTGTGCCACCTCCAGCATTGCTGTGGCTACTTATGATCTTTTGTTTTCATCTCTGTATTTTGAAACTTTGTTTTCCTTTGATATGAATAAAATTGGGATTTTGCAAGACATTGCTTGCATCTGTATATTACATTCAGTCACATAGTCATTTTGTTCATGTATGTAAATGGATAGCTTTTTACTCTTCTAGCGCCTCTTTCAGTTTCTTCCGTGTTTTAATGTTTTCATTGTTCAAGTACTTCACTCATCAGTTAGGTTTATTCCTCGGCGTGATAACTTTTTGAAATTAACCACTGTGCATGAAATTGTGTTTCTGATTTATTTCTCTGTATCAGGGTTTTTGATCACTTCTTTTTTAAAAAAAAATCTTGCTGTGCACTCTGCTTCCTTGGTGAAAGTGTTCAGCACATTATTGTTTGTGTTTGAGTGTTTCTACACTTTTAATTATGTGAACACATCACTTTTCCATAGAGATTATTTAACCTCGTGTTTGTCATTTGCTTTATTCCTCCTTATTGATTCTTTGTGGATTTCGTATCATGCATTCCATCCCCCCTTATCTGTTATTCCACTTGCATCTGTCCTCTGTCCTTGCAACTTGCTCAATCAAAACCAAATTTAGAAGAAAAACCAAACAGAGAGAAGAAACAAAACAAAACATAATATACATTAATAAAAGAGAGAACTTTGTCATGGAAGCTGTATTGAGTCACACAGTTTACCCTTTAGTTCATTCATCTTTTGTTCATTGCTATGGCTCAATGGTCTGGTTCAAGGCCTATGGCCTCTGCTAGACCACTGATAATGGGCTCTCATTGGTGCTCCTCCTAGATATCCCAATGTTATCCTGTGCCATGGAGATCCTAGTGTTTTGGATATGTAGGTTCGTCCCCTTCATATGCCCCAGAATTTCATAGATAGATGTTGAGGTGGATGTTGATGTGGACTTAGTCATAGTGCTGGTTCTGGGCATTGATGTAGAAAAGGGTGGGAAGGGACTGGTAACTGGATTGGTCAGACCAACTTCTTTCTCTCATCAACACTACTGGGTGAGCTCTCTAGCACTGCCTCTGCTAGCTCAACCAATGCAGCCTGCAGCAAGGAGAGGGGCCAGTTTTCCTGCTCTCGGGTCCGTCGATCTGGTCTCCTACACTCACACCACCAGGGCAACCTCGAATGTATTGCACAGGCAAGGTCCTGATTGCTGTAGGGGGCATACAAGGCCAGACAGGGTCATCTATCCTGCTCTCAGGCAATCAAGCTTGGCTCATCTTTGCCCCAGACAAAAGGGTCAGCTCTAGTGTGCTGTCCAGACAGGGTCAGAGCCTGCTTTCTCTTGCACTGCAGCTGCTGTGTGTTAGGGCTAGCTCTCCTACTCTTGTAACCCAGGGCCATTTTTTCACCTTCCTCAGGTGGTAATGGGTTAAGGGGGGAGGGCATCATTCTCTCTCTCACCCATGCCACAATGTGACAGATGAGAGGAGGAAGGATCAAATCTCCTGTTCTCGTGCCTTTGAGGTCAGCAAATCTGCTTCCTGACCACAGACAGGATCAGCTATAGTATCCTTCTTAGGTGAGGTGCACACCTGTGGCAGTGGGTGGCATTTTACCTGTGTTGGGGTGATCTCTCCCTAAAGGGGTAGGGCCATCTCCCCTGCTGTAGTAGCCAATGAGGAGCAGAGACAGCTATCTTAGGGCCAGTGAACTGTGGCCCTGGCTCAGCACAGCATGATTCTACTGATAACTTCTACTAATATGGGCCATGAGTATCAATTATCACAGATCCCAGCTGCTGCAGGAAAGTGAACCCAGACATGACCCTAGGTAGCAGACTGTGACAGACATATTCATGGCATCAGATGGCACTACCATACACACAGATCAATAAGGCCCTGGCAGCAGCATGGTCCTCAGGTCCTAATGTTCTCTGAGGTGTCTTACCTGTCCCAAGTCATCTGCTTTGCCCTCAGTGGAATCAGGAGCAACAAACATTAACCCAGACCCTGGCAGATGCAGGGCAAAGGACCCCAGCATGACCCTAGTCAGCATCTCTGGCCTGAATGACACCGTGGCCAAGAGTGCCAGCATTGGCCGTTAAGATCAGAATGTCCCTGGTGGAAGCACAATCCTCAGACACCTTCATGGCCATAGGATGAGGCCCAGACCCCAGACATTGATGAAGTCTTCGGTGGCAACATGGGCCGCAGACATTAATAGAGACCCTGACTGTGGCAGGACCACAGACCCTGACCTGTTCATAGGCAGCAACCCATGCTTAGATATCACCATGGTCTCAGGTTTCAGGTCCCTTAAGGTCCACATATAGGAAAGAATGTAGGATTTAATTAGACAACATTGGGAGAGGTGCTTCCTTAAACTGGTTCTCCCTTTATCTTTAGAATACATTTTTGTATTTTAAGATTATATTGGAATTAGTATTTCTGACTATAGGCTCAGGTCAGTTTGAAGACCCTACCCATTTTATTTCATGCATATCTTTTGCAATTTTGGTATGTCTGCACATGCCACAAAGGTGACCAAATATATATATAGTGATACTTTGTTGATAATCTAAGAAAGCTTACCCGAAGATCAGAGTTCATAGCTATCCACACTAATCAACCATACAGGCCAGGCAGTGGTTGCACACACCTTTAATCCCAGCACCCACACTAGTTAGCCATATAGGCCAGGCAGTGGCAACGCACGCCTCTAATACCAAGGCTAGAGAGGAATATGAGGCAGGATGAGACAGGAACTCGCTCTCTTTTCAGTCTGACTATTTCACTGAGTTAGGAGGTCTCTAGTGCTTGATTTCTCTCTAATCTACAGGTAAGATTTATTTGGTAGATCATAGACAAAATATCAATATAGTCAGGGGCTATAATGTCATTCCTTTTTCTTTAATTACAGTTAATTTGATTTCTTAGTGTATTCTCTTTCCAAGTTAGTAATGATGCTATCAATTTTATATAGATTTATCCTTGCTTTTGTGATGGTTTATATACTATTGAGATCAAATATCAGGAGTCCAATAGCTAGGTGACCAAAATAGTTTTCTGTTAAGTTAGTGCTCATTTCTATTGATATTTTGTCACATATACTTATCTATATATGCATAAATATGTAGAGAAGTTGGTTATGTGTTTATTCATATACAAATATATTTTAATAGAGACATAAACCCATTTCCTTTGCCTACAAATGGAAGTGGCTGTTTTGCTATTTATTCTGCAAATAGTTACCCATATTGCCAACAATTGTTGCAAAGAAGACTCTGTGGATATCTGTCAAGTTTTCTAAATGTTTCTCACCCTTATGCAGGTTCATTAAGATGGACAACAAGAAACCAAACACACTCCTGGATCTTGCTATACATCAACTCCTGAGTAATGAAACTGCAGCCATTCATGCTGTCGAGAAGATCCCAAGGGAGCTTTTTGTTCCACTATTCTGTGCCTCCTTCAAGGGTGTGCATAAGAATATAGTGAAGGCAATGGTGAAGGTTTGGCCCTTTGCTTGTCTCCATATCGGCACATTTACTGTGCGAGAACACCATCGTGAACTCCTGACAGCCATGCTGGAATGTCTTCCATTCCTGCCTGGTCAGAACTTGGGATCTAGGTAAGATCCTGTAAAATAGAGACATGCAAAAACACAGGAGGTAACACCACAGCCTGCTACACTTCCAAAGGTAGTACATGCAAATAGTGATAAAAAATGTGGGACTCTTAGTCCAATACCTGATGTCACTTTGAAAATAAGTTTTTTAAAATATTGAATATGGGACATATTTCACTGAGGGCACTGTTGTCATATTTGCATTATGGTGTTTTTATTACATAGAAGATAAACACGAGTGTTAAGATTGCTGAAGATGGTGCAACATTAAAGAAAAAATAATAATGTGTGCTGTTTAGTGATAAATGTTGTTGTCTTGTTCAACACTGTCTCCTCATTGAATGAGCATACGAAGACACTGACAGCAATGGTTAAGGCTCAACCCTGTTTTGTCTCCACATTAGAAAATTAAACATATAAGAAACATTGAACTGAAAGTCATGACTGATGGTCTTCAGTTGTTACTGCCAAGAACTCAGCTTTTCAATAGGAATGAGTATAATACATATATAATAAGATAGCAAAACCTTATCTTGGAGCCTGTTGCAATAGTGAACCAGATAATCTCCCGGAGTTAGTTAATAGTGAATGGTGAAAATCAATGTAAGTGGTTGGTACATCTGTTGAGGTTTTCTTAAAAACTCTGATGTCTTACAGAGGGTTTTAATATGTCAATTGAGGTGAGAGAGGCTACTGTTGATCGATATCCATAATGGAGATGTTTCATGAAAACAGGCATAGCAAGACATTATGAAAATTTACTGATTACAAAAAAACAGTACAGGATATAGTATTTGCATAACAAAATCTTGCTGGTCGTTGGTGTATGAAATGACAAAAACAAAGAGAAGATGATATTGTCACTACCTGTTGTCATTGATCCTGATGGGTTATATTAATGTCTCTACCTCATAATATTTTTGGTTGTTTTTTTTTTCCCTACAGGATCCCTAAACTGAGGATCCTAGATTTAAGGGAGGATTCTGGCTGCAAGATCGTCTGCCCCAAGATCTGTACTAAATCACCTGCATGCTTGTTCTCCTGTGCTCACTCAGAGCACTCAATCTTGAAGATTCAGTCCTGGCAGAGTATTGCAAGTTCAGAACCTGAGGTTCAACCTTCTAATCTTCCCATGGAATTAATAGTGAACATCTCCCTTGTTAGTGGTATCACCCTATGGCAACATGAATTTTTGGCTCTGCTTTTGAACAAAGTGGAAGACAGTTCAGGGTCTTTGCATTTATGCTGCCGAGATTTGGAAATCGATAAATTGGGTGATAGGAGAAACACCCTTAACTATTTAGATCTCAAATGTCTAATCAACCTGTCAGTATTTCAGGGTTCTCTTATTGAAGTCAACAACCTTCTGACTCGAGTGGGACAGCTGAGAAGATTTTGCCTGTCTAGAATCACTTGTAGATCTTTGAATGGGAAAGTTTTCCAGAATTTTGTCTCACACCTTAGGTGTATGGACCATCTCAATGAACTAAATTTTCATTCTTTCGTCCTCACCGATCATCTGGAAACTGCCCTGCGGTAAGGGTATGGGGAACATACTGTCTTTACAGTAGTAGCCAGTTTTTAAGATGAGAGAAATAATTCTTAGATATACTTAAAATTCCCATAACCTTTTCTCCTCCTTCCTCAGCACGGGCAATTCTGGGAGTTTAAGAACAGACCGGGAATAGTTTCTTTCCGTAATTGAAAAGAAAAATGGGGTTACAAAATTGTAGTCAGGTGAGCATGTATAGGCACTGTGCTCATTCCAGAAACAAGAAGGTCAAACGAAAAATATAGCTCTCCTCTGGACATCAAGAGATAAAGAGGGAGAATTGAAAGATATTAAGTTCTGGCACAGATGCACAGATTCATACACCCATAGATGGTATTGTCACATCACGAGTAAAATCTCCAAGGTTCAGGCCATGACTGGAGAGGCTGTCATTTATAGACTGGCCAAAGGGAGCTTCCAGTTGGTTGCTCCTTCTGTCCTTTCTCTTCTGAGTATGTGAACTAGCTCCCCATGTGATTATGTTGTATTTCCTAAGTTGATAGAATTTTCACTAAGTTTTTCACCCAACTTCATAAGAATATGTTGTAAATATTGTCAAGGTTAAAATAGTATTTTCCAGGGTGGTAATGTATCTCTCACAGATCCACAAGTACATTAAGTGTGTGAAAGCTCACATCATTTGCTGATGATGTGCAAAACAGTTTGTTCTAGATTCAGAGATATAATTCCCCTCTTCTAGTCCTCATTTTACAGAAACACTTTTCTGTTTTCTCCCTGCAGAGTCCTCCCAACCAGTTTGGATTTCTTACATCTAACATTCTGTGAACTTTCTTACAATGATTTCAAGTTTCTAGCTGAGTGCCCTCAAGCCAACCATTTAAAACTGCTGAATATCAGCAGTAATCCGATGTACTGGGAAGATTGTGAGCCCGTTCATAACCTCTTGCATAGAATCTCTGGCACCTTGCAGCATCTGGCAGTTACTCAGTGTGTTTTAACAGATTCTATGGTTGCTGGTGTCATCCCAGCACTAAGTCACTGTTCCCAACTCCAAGAGCTGAACCTCTCCGCAAATCCTGTTAGTATGCCCATGCTCATGAGACTCCTTGAGAACTTAACACCCTTGATGGAGCTTAAATACGTGATATATCCTATCCCTGTGCATTGCTATGGGAGATGGCCCATCCAAGAGAGTTTAGATCAGCAGAAAACGGCTTATGTGCAGGCACAATTGAAACGAATGCTACGAGAAGCAGGGAGGATCGACATGATTTGGTTTACTTATCCTAGATAAATTTATGATCCAACACAGCTTCTCCTGGATACATATCCATTAATTATAAAATGTTTTTAAAATAAATTACAATTCTAAAAGTTTCACCTTGATACATTCTCTTTATGTATTAAATGTTTTTTTTTCTTGATCTGGTAGAGTAAATATATAAGGTTCTTATGTTGTAGCAAAGTACAGGTAAAATTATAGGAATATGACTGATAGCTATAGCAAATATCTTGCAAGAGGATGGAAGGCTTGTAGAGAATCTGTGTGACTCTTGACTATTGTTTTTGATAATGCTTCATCTTACCTACTTTTAACATGTGGACCTGCTTGTCGGGATTTCTGTCCTGCCTGGTTCCCACAGCCATTCAGCCCCAAAGAAATCACACAGAGAGTCTGCATTACTTATAAACTGATTGGTCCATTAGCTCAGGCTTCTTATTAGCTCTTGTAGCTTATATTAACCCATTATTCTTATCTATGTTAGCCCCATGGTGCAGTACCTTTTTCAGTGGGGTATATCCCATCCTGCTTCTTCTGTGATCTGGGAAGGACTGGGGGGAATGGGCTTTCTCCTTCCTAGAAGTCTTCTGTTTTCATTGCCACACATCTACTTTTTGTCTCGTTGACCCACCTATACTTCCTGCCTGACCAATCAGCATTTATTTAAAACATGATTGACAGAATACAGACAATTCTCTTGCACAATTTCCCCCTCTTATTTTTTAAACAAAGGAAAATATCCATAGTCCATTTTTTGGGAGTGTGGATATAGTATTCTGGGCTACTTCTGGCTGGTTGGGGGCCCTGATAGTCTTATGGGGACCTAAAGAAAATTTAGAGTTATGATCAAGTCCTGACTGGAGTATCCTGTGAGCCTTGATCATCTCAGACAGCATCTTGAATCTGTTTTGGATGTAGAACGCAGACATCTGGGCCATCTGTTCCTACTGGAGATTTCTCAGGTGGTCTTCCTCGATCAAACCTTATTTTTCCTAACTCAGTATGAATCTATAGTCCCTCATTTCCTGTGGAAACAAAAGCAAAATCTCTTCTCCTAAGTAACATACCTTTTGACATCAGTTTTGATGTCAAAATATTTTCAAAATACCTATTTTGGATTAATTTAGCAGCAATCATAAGCAAATATCTTTTAGCAGCAGTTGCTCTTTCCTCGGCATTCAAACAATTCAAAGAGAGCATAATAACATACAGTATCAAGATTCTCTGTACTTTTCATCTTTACGTGGATTTATTTTATCCTCTATTTCTTTATTATTTTACTTTTAACTTTTGGCTTTTTGAGACAGTTTCTCTGTGTATCTTTGTCATGGAACTCCCTCTGTAAACCAGGATACCCTTAAACTCACAAAGTTCCACCTGTCTCTGCCTCCCCAGTGCTGGGATTAAAGATGTGTGCTACCACACCTTGAACTCACAGAGACTTGTCTGCCTCTGTCCCCCAGGTCTTAAATATTTGTTTACATTTAAAAGGGGATATGATATAGATATGAATAATTTGCATTGGTATGGATTTTGCTTTATTGATATAAATTTGAGGTCAATCTTGTTATATATATATATATATATATATATATATATATATATATATATATATATATATTTCTGACCTTCATTAAGGTAGTTCATTTAAAATTGTAATGTATAATTAGGAAATATAGGTTGTTAATGGATAATCATAGATAATAGTCAAACTTGTAGTCATGTTAGCTAGATTTATTTCAGTTAGATAGGCATTCTTCATATCTTTCAAAGATTACAGAATATGGCAATTAAAATGTTTTAATAACTTATGGCTTTTCATGACAATGAGACATGTTTGTTGCTGGCAGTTCCAATCTACTGAAAAAGGAAGATGGGCATCAAAGAGGCTCCTTACGGAGTTGGTTAGCCATTTGGGCAAGAAACTGCTCTTGCCTGGATTGATGCATAAACTAGACATGAAGAACCTGCAGAGAGATGACTGCTGAACTTGACTAAAGGTGAGATGATCCTTTGGGGTTCCTGTTTCATGAAAGAGTCTGTGAGACATTCTGCAGGACACAGAAAAAAAGTGACTTAATTGTCTTTAAAAGTTCCTGCTTCATGGAAAAGTCTGCTGGATACTATGGGCCTGTAGGCTGAATGTGGAAGCCCCAATGGTACAAAAAAACTTTGGGTGACTGTCCAGGCAGCTAGATGTCTATCATTTCTTGAGTTTTGGAAGTTGCTTACAATGCATTTCCTGTTTAATTAGGAAATATTATATCCTTCTGGAATCGTTGATGGAGTTCAAGAATAGATAGATAGTTATAGTTTTCCTTTGTTATGATAAAAGATAAAATAGATATAAATATTGTAACTGTAATCCTTGCTTGATAACTCTTTTGTTATATGAAATTTACTATGTTAAATTTAAAGCCTTCCTTTTTGTTTAAACAGAAAAAGGGGAAATGGTGTAGGAGGTCTTTCAGTAGTTGTGTTGCTTTCATTGGTTAATCTACAAAGAAACTGCTTGGCCTGATAGGACAGAACTTAGATAGGCAGAGAAGACAGAAGTGTATTCTGGGAGGAAGAAAGCAGCAGATAGAGTCAAGCAGCCATGAAGCTGCCAGGTCAGATATATGTAATCTTTCCTGGTAAGCCACGACCTCACAGTGACATACAGATTATTAGAAATGGGTTGAATCAAGATGTGAGAATTAGCCAATAAGAGGCTAGAGCTTATGGGCCATACCGTAATTTAATTAATACAATGTCTGCCTGGTTATTTCGGGGGTTAAGCTAGACATGCAGCAGAATACAGCCCACTCCACCTACTATGCCTACTGAAGTTTTAGTTAGAAGATGTGGAAAGTCTACATCATGAAATCTTCACTAAGATGTACCTGTGAGTACTTCACACCAGTCACAATATTCTAACGTTCCATGAATATGTTTTTGGAGGGCAGGTATTTGTTGAAACAAATGCTTTTATCCCTCAACTTGTATTAAGCTTCTCTATTCAAGGCTGCCTTCTGTCTCTTAAAGGAAACCATCCAAATTTAACAGTGAGAAAAAGAATCTACACTATTACCTCTTGAGTGGTTAAGCTTTTCTTCATTTCAAACTCTTTCACCAAAGTTTGGATTGGGATATTATTGTAGTCAACAAAATAAACAGACAAATAAAACAAGGTTTCTGCCACTCAGAGGCTGAATATTTCTGTGGCGTATCTGAGTCTCCACAGTTTATTAGTGCATAGAAGGAAGTTGTTTTACCCTCTTGGACCATATTTTATTTTCCTTGTACTTGGTACATGTTCTGTTCAAGGTAAAGTGGACTCTATGACGTTCAGTCTCTTCTCAGCAGAGTTCATGGGTTCCATGAAACCATCTTGGAGGCTTTCTCTCACATCTGTTTGATGTTTGCCTTCTGCCATTGTGCAAAATGTCTAACATAATAGACTAAGGTAAAAAATAATTTTATTTCCCTGCTTTAGAAGTTTCACCATGGTTGTTTAATTGCACTACTTTGGAACTTTTACAAGGCAGAACACGATAAAGAGCTTGTAACAGGAAGGATCCTTTCAATTCATGAAGCATGGAACCAAAGAGAGCAGGATCCTGAGTCCCTATACAGCCTTCAGTAGTGGGACTATACTGTTCTGCATCCTTGAGCTAACCTACTCTAAAGGTTTTCCTTCTGCCCTGAAGCCAATGTTGTACTAGCCTATTCAAAATTTCAACCACCTGCCACAAGCCATCAGCTTGGGTCTACCTTTAATTGTATTAGCTTAGGAAGATATTTAGGACATATGCATCATTCTTCCTTAATTATATACATGATTCTGTTTGAATATTCTGGTGCATCTTTTCTACTAAAATTGCCACAATTGCTATAACATTTTATAGCAAATATATACATGAAGTCCTTTATATGTCACACCAAAATATGATGACCATACAGAGAAAAGCACGTTTGTTCAAGATACACTGCAAAAGAGACATATAGAAACAATTAACTAGTAATGTACTCATGTTCTTAATGTATCAATGTGGGCAAACACCATGTTACAAGGTTGTGTCAAAAGTGTATAAAATTTAATTTGTTCCTGTCATATGCTGAAATGTGAACATCAATGCATTTTAATTAATTACTAAGTAAATAAAACAAAATTAAACACTTATGCCACTTTTTTAAAAATCCAAATGCTATTTTAAAGATCTAGTAAGAAAATAACAACAACAATAATGTGTCTATATTGTTTCAATTATAAATAATAATATACTGGAATTCAGATCAACCAAGTAAAAATACTGTTAAAAGTTGCAGAATATTTTTCATAGTTCTCACATTTGAGATGATATTGAACTTCATTTCAGTGATATAAATCATGAGAATTCCTCTATAAAAGTAAATTTTATATGATTACATGATATGGGAGTGTCATATACCAATCTGTTGATTTCATTGGTTAAGCAATAAAGAAACTGCTTGGCCCTCATAGGTTAAAGCATAGGTGGGAGGAGTAAACAGAACAGAAGGCTGGGAGAAAGAAGCTGAGTCAAGAGAGTCGCCATGATTCTCCCACTCCAGGCAGACGCAGGTTAAGATCATTCCTGGTAAGCCAGCTCGTGGGCTACAGCAGATTATTAGAAATGGGCTAGTCCAGGTGCGAGAGCTAGCCTAGAAGAGGCTAGATAGAAATGGGCCAAGCGGTGTTTAAAAGAATACAGTTTCCGTGTAATCATTTTGGGGCATAAGCTAGAGCTAGCCATGTGGGCGGCTGCGTGTCGGGGGACGCAGCCCCGCTGCTCCTATTTCAACAATTACATTTATATGATAAAAGATTATCAAAGTCAGGAAGATATCAGTAAAAACAATATGCACAATTTGGTATATTACTTCTATTTTTAACTCACATATATGTGATTTTATAAATAACATTGTTAAAAACATATAAAACATCTATGTTAAGGATTATTTATTCAAATTTGAAAGAAACAAAGCAAAACAGAATTCAATTCTGTTTG